ACCATGTGAACCTCCAAGTGAGTGAATCGCCACAATAGGGACTAGCTTGCCAGCAAGCAAGTGAACCTCGGTGAAAAATCTTCGTGTCATCTTGTCTATGAGGGATTCATTTGGTATTCATTGTGATTGATTGATTGTCACTTGCCAAGGTGGTATAACCCTCACTACCTCTCTTGTATTTACATTCTAGTGTAGCTAAGCTCTTTAGTGCAACTAGTTTTGAGAGCTAGCTTGTGTCTTGTTAGTTTGGTTAGTGAGGCTCTTTAGTTAATCTTTGAAAGATCACTAATTTAGAGAGTAGTGACTTAGCCTTTGTGTGACATAGAGATCACAGCAACTAGAATTGTGGATAGGTGGCTTGCATTTTTAGTAGGCTAGTGCAACATTCACTTCACCACTTAATTATATAATCACTTGGCTTAAGTGTTGTTGTAGAAATTTTAATAGGCTATTCACCCTCCCTCTAGCCTTTTACGACCTTTCACCACGTCACTAAGCGCAATGCATATGCAAATGAACTCACACTTAGTGGCACTGGATAACCATTGCAATTAAAGATTTCCCCTCTTTATAGTACGATTATCTATCCTAAACCCGGTCACGCACTCTATTGCATCTTGACCGACAAAACAAAATGGCCCTATCAAATATACCTTTGCCTTGAGCCCATTTTGTTTTTCTCTTTTTTCTTTTCCAAGTTGGAGCACTTGATCACCATCTTTTGGTCACCTCCATCACCATGACCATCATCTAGCTCCACCACTTGGTGTGTACCACCCTATCTCATATACAACACTTAATGACAAGGGTTAATACACTAGGTTTCATCAATTAGCCAAAACCAAACTAGGGCTTTTAGGTAGGGAGCAGTTTTTTAGCTCCCAACGTGGAGTGTAAATGGAGAAGCAACTCTTGTTGGATCCCTACTAGAATCTAGTTGTATTTGACCCTGTTTAGCTATCGAGGACCAATTCTCAAGGAGAATCTAAAGCTCATAGGTCTCCCATATGGCCCCTAATTTGCAACAGATTCAGGCCTAATCTATCAAGCAAGAATTGGTGTTTACTATTTGCAACTTACCTCCTGCAGAACTTAATACAATCTGATTTACCTTCCATCAAACTTTGCCATAAGTTTGAATCCATTTTCCAGTACACCAGCATACATTCTCTCCCTCACCTCCTCTGTAACTCCATCCCCCAGTATGCCAGGGCAGCACCCATGTAAAGATCTGAGCTGCTTCAAATAGCTCTTTCGTTCAATGAAGTAGGTGGAGCCTTGCTCCCCCGAATTGGTCAGAAAAAAAGTACACCAGCATACATTTTCTAAAGGCTACTCACCATAAAAGTAAAAATCTCCTCTACAATTTCTTGATTTTTTAGCTTTCCTAAGCAATAAATGTCACTTGCACAAAAGTTGATTTGAGTTGGTACTAATGAGAACCTAGTAATTTGCAAGCTACACTTGAGACTTGAGAAAGAAAACCAAGCAAGGTACATCCTCCAAGCTCCAATTTGAGGGGCCACCCACATGGGCATGAACTTTGGTCCTTGTAAATATTGTGGGTAGTTCCTTAAAGGGTCTAATACCCGCTACTCTCAAAACAAAGACCATGGATGTGTTCTACCCTGATTAGGGTTTTTATTATTTTTTAGAGTTGCTAAAAACTCTAGTTCATGGCCATTCGTATTGTAACTATGAAAAATGTACTCTACCTTGATTCAAATATTTAATGACTTCAATTTTGAGTCAGTATTCGACTGCTCAGGAACCAATTGGGCATAAAACGAACTATATGTAACAACAGTAAACTGAGTATGGTTTGTACCCTTTTCATTGTAATCCTTCTTCAGAGCTTTATCCATTGTTTACATCACATCTTCATTAGTTTCATTTGATGATGTTGAGCTTTTTTGAAGGAGTTCACTATCATTCATATCTTGATACTGGAGGAGATGATTTTGAGCCTGCATCATTTTCGGAACACCATTTCTTTCAGCCTCTTCTACAGGCACCCTAATCTGACTCCCTTTAAATTCATGGGCCTTGTCTTCTGATTTGCTTTCTTTAGATTCTTTGAATTCATTTGTTTTCCCTAGAACATCCCCACTATTGTTGTATTCAGGACTTGGGCAACCACCCATTAGTTCTAGTGAAGCCTGCTGAAAAGAATTGCCATTGGCAGACATAACTATAGAGTCAGATTGTAGCAATAGTGCAGGAGCAGGACCATGCATCGTCACCATGTTCCTCTCTACACTTGTACTTGCAACATCTCCACCAACCACAGTATCAGGGCTATGCTGTATCAACGGTACATTAATACCATTCTCGCCTGATAGCATTAGCTTGTGCAGGAGCAGGACCATGACAGAAGAAATAGATTTGTTCCAACGCCTCAAACAGACGAGAACCACATAGCATTACGGTTGTAATCTGAAATGTTGACATTACTTGTTCAGTTTAACTTAGATTTAATTATACAAAAAGGTTTGTGTGTGGGAGCATAGCATACATTGTACCATATTAGCTTGTATTCCCAAATGGTGCCATACAATGAGGAACCGGTTCCAATGAAAGTAGTAGCAGCAACTATAAGCTGGTAACCACTATATCTGTCGTCCTTCAACTACATACGGTATTGCATGTCTATTAAAGTTGATATAAAGCCAATTATTCCTACCACTGTACCAGTTGTGCTTGTGCCTATGTATGACTTGGGACCAATTCTCAGAAACTTAGGAACAGAAAAGAAATAAGCTATAACAACAGGGATCATGCTCACAATAAAAGCAATTCCAGACACAAGATAGAAAGTTGTATCATAGTTTCTCTACCAATAAAACCAACTGAAATATCCATTCAATCCAAAACCAATCAAAACCGAGATAAAACTGAGGATGCTTTTGCAACCTTCTACACCCATATTAACAATCCAGCAAAGATTGGAAGCGACTAAGAGTGTGGATGAAATACACAGGAGCTTCCTTCTATCAGAATCAATATTTGCAATTCGATAGATTGTTTTCCTTTAAATCTTTAATCTATTAACATATAAGTCATCTACATATGCTATTTGTTTTATCACCTATTCCTCTATAATGTAATCAAATATTCTATTGGTTTTTCTTCTATTAGCTTACTGATTTTTTTATCAGATCCAATACAATAAATAACATGCAAGTCAAATTCATATATATGTATATACAGTATACAGAATACCATATAGTAATGCTATGTATATAACAGATTTATTTTTAAGAAAATACCACGTCAATGCGCGAGGTATCCTTCTAGTTGTTGGGAAAATGATTCCCGGACAGGTTTAGAAGGGGAGAGTCGAGAGAGAGTAGAGTAGGCGGCGGCTAGGGTTTGTAATATCAGTGGGTGAGAGAGTGCCCCTTCCCTCATCCTCTTGACATTGTATATAGGCAACGATAATTTACAAGTGACCCCTCGGTGGGGGTAAAATTGACAAGCCACTACACTAGCACCTATTGAGCCTCTTCTAGGGAGAGTTGGCCCATATGAATATGGGCTCCCCCAATAGTAGCCTCTCAGCTACTAGGTTATGGCTGGTACTACATGACCGAGTAGATGCTCGTACAAGAGGAGGCAAAATACAACTCAAAACCTTGTTGCAAGGATTGCCCTTCACAACCTATACGTGCACGCCTCACTAAAAACTCTATCCCAAAATCCATGTGGGCAAAAGGGGAATGGAGAAAAGAGCACGCTCACGACTCTACCCTATACATGTTCTAATTCCCGTGGCTTCTAGCCCCAAGTGTCTTTGATCTTTCGGACATCTTCACCTTTGGGATTCAGATGGAAAGATAATTTCATAAGCTAACCAATAGATTTAGTTTTAGGTCCAAATTCCACTGGAGTCAAAGAAAATCATCGAAATAAGTCAGCGTCCAGAATTTGTCAGGGTGTCGTGTCACCATCTTTTGGTCTGTTGAGCCGTGTATCGTCTTTGAGCCTGTTAGGGGGGCGCGTCCAGGAGAAGCGATGACCCTTAGACCTTATAATCAGTGACCACCGCCCTCGTTAGGTTTTGGGTTTTGCTTTAGATCAATGTGTCATTGAACAGTCATCGTTACCGGTTTGCGAGACTCCAACTTCGAATGCTTAATCATATATCCGCAATCACTTTATTTGAGTTGTGTTTTATCTTGTTCTTGCTTGTGTTTTTCAATTCGCAGCAGGGATTAGCCTTCTCAGCATGGTCAATCGGATTGTGAAACGGTTAACAACTAGAGGAAACATGGTGCTAAGGTTGTAGGGTTCGGGTCTTTATGTTCTGAAGCTGGATCGGTGTGTCGCTCTCCACTAAACTGATAGTTATCTTGAATCTAACGGAAGATCAGAAACCCTAACCCTATCGCCATGGGAAAAGTTAAATATACCCTTAAGGGCATATGCTCCCATGTCCATTGTCGTTGGATACGCATTGGGATGGGTGCACTGAAGAAGTGAGATGCACTAGAGGTAGTGCACCCATCCCCATCTCAATGCGTATCCAACGGTAACGGGGATGGAAGCATATACCCTATAGGGCAAAAAAAAAAAATTGTGTCCGCCATGTCTGGCCCGGTCACTACAGGCCATGGCTAGCCCAAGCCCATGCCGAGCATTGTCAGGCGGCACGAATGGCCTTCTATAGTGAAGATTGCTGGCATGTGTACCAATAATGATATTTGTTTTCACTACCGGTTTAAAAAGATTCTCAATTAATCTGGTAGTGAAGCGTAATCAGTGCTGGCTGCATAACAACACGTAGTGATTGTCTATTCTACAATAATATAGAAGCTTATAAGTTGCATGACAACTTTAAATAAATCATATAATAACAAAATAGTCGTTTGATAGTCTTAATTTTCTTTCCCCCGTCGGTTGCTTCTATGCATAACCACCTCTTTCTTTTTGCCTTCCTTTCTCTCCGCTGCCAGCAATCCAGCAACAGCACGAAGAAGCCAGCTTTGGCCATCAAGGATATGGCCGCAGCCGAGGACTACGACACCGCGGCCGCGGTGGCCGTGTTCCATCAGTCCCGAGCCGGCGTCCGCGGGCTCGTCCAGTCCGGCGTCAACACCATACCACCAATTTTCCTCATGCCCACCTCGCCATCGCCGCGGTCACCCACGACTACAGCGTTCGCCATCCCAGCCGTCGACCTCTCCCTCCCGCGCCAGGACACTGTTGCGCTCGTCCGCGCCGCGGCATGTTCGTGCGGCTTCTTCAACGTCACCAACCACGGCGTCCCGGCCGGCATCGTCGACTCCGCAGTCTCCGCGGTGAGGGCGTTCCACGAGCAGCCCCTCACCGTCCGCTCGGCGTTCTACTCAATCGAGCCCGTGGGCGGTGCTGTCACCTACTCCACCATCCCCATCGCGCCGCAGCGGGGCGCTCCTCTCCTCCCCTGGCGCGACACGCTCCGTGTGCGCTTCGGCCCAGGGGAGCCCATCCTTGGTCGCCTACCCGCGGCTTGCCGGAACGTGCTGCAGGAGTACCAGAGGTCGCTGACGGCGTTCGGGAAGGAGATGGCCGGGCTGCTGTCGGAGGCGCTCGGCGTTGGGACAGAGCGGCTGGAGCGGGCGATGCAGGTGGAAGGGTGGCTCATGGCGTGCCACTACTATCCACCGTATCCGGAGCCGGAACGGGTGGTCGCTAGCCTCGAGCACACCGACCCCAGCTTGTTCACGGTGCTGGCGCAGGACGGAGTTGGTGGGCTGCAGGTCCGCCGCGACAACGGAGAAGAGTGGGGACGTGCTCAAGGTACAATCTGGTGTTCGTAAAGCAGTTAGAATGTGCCATTAACTTATGTTATCTTTGCAAATAAACAATTACAAGATGATCTCAAATCAAATACAGGAGTACTACTGTACTAATAAAAACGATGCGTCGCATCAGGACTCAGGAGCTTTCTTTTGAATTGGGAGCTAAATAAATTTGAGTCTGTCTAGTGCACAACCATATGTTTTATATAATTTTAATACATGAATTTTTTTGTACTATAAAATTAAAATCTAACAGCCTCCATCTTTTTTCTATCTTTAGCTTTTTTCTACCTTCATACAATTATAAAATCACATATCCACATATCATAAATTACATATCACAGAAAATAATTTTTTTCTATGACATGACAAAATACAGAGGGTTGATTTCATTGCCTTTCCATTCGTCATTCGTCGGTGACGGTCTCTCCTATGCGCATGCGCCAGCTACGGCGAGGAGGACACGACACGACACACACCGGCGTAATGGCGCAGTAAAGAAATGCAACAGAGGGACGAGCAGCAGCAGCAGCAGAGCGCAGCCAGGAGGGCGTTGAGGGCGCCGGTCGGGCCGTGGGCGGCGACGAAGCGGCCGTGGGTGGTGCGCACTGCAGATCTGACGGACAAAGATGACGCAAGTCAACGATCCGTGGACTAAAATTTACGTGTTTTTTATTACTAAAATACACGTGCGTTGTATAGCATTTCTGAATAAATTTTCACAGGACGTTATTTGGTCCAAAACCAAGGTCTCGCGGTAATGCGGTTCATGTTTACAATACAAGGAACTGTCCTCAATGTTACCCGCTTCCTCTAACTAGTATTATTTTCACCATGATCAAAATTTTTCGTCAATTAGCATAAATTATTTAGACATATTAATAAATTATATATCCCGAGTAGTTAAAAATACTTATGCTTCAATCAATATTTTGTCAAACATTTGAAACTTTTACCACGAAGACTCTCTAAATGTGTAGCTTGGGAACATAAAAATAATGTATGGTTTGCATTCAAAAATAGTTTCACAATCACACATTTTTTTAGACACTGTAATTAAATCCTCATAGAAAATGGTGGTCAGAATCAGTCACACGGAACGCTGTTTGTTACGACGTTCCGCGTCCCTGGAACTCGGAATTGCATTTACCATAAAAAGTCAAAGACATATTTTTGAACAAAGGAATTACTTCAGTATTTCGCTATAATACTTTTATTTAAGTTGATAAATGAGAATAATTAAATCACATCATAAGCTAAGCTAGCTAGGAATATATCGAATCAACATTTAGGGTTTATTTGGGTGCAAGGGCTAGTCTTAGGTGTAGCCACACACCTATGGCTTGGTTACTTTGTAGCAAAGTTTGATGTGTTTAAGTAATCACACCTTAGGTTAGTAGTGGCAAAATTTGTATGGCAAGTGTTTTATTTTCGATAATAAGGCGAGTCCATTAAAAAGGATGCCCATACAAAGTTTTCTAATTGATAGGAGTGGGGCAAGAGACTATTATAATTACTGTCATTGTTTTGGGCGCCAAAGATGTGATGAGAACTTATGTGGCACGCTCTATTGTTGAATGCATGTGTTTGGTTGGTGGAACAACGAGAGACGGGATAGGGCGGACCTAGTTTTGATGGTGTTTGGTTGAGAGTCAAGTGGGATGGGGGATGTCCCACTAGAAAATATTCATGACATATTCTTAAAAAACGAGGACAAGTGGACAACTCCCTTCCATTAAAATGAGTGAACCATGGGGATGAAGAGGGATGAATGGGCCCCACTGAGGACCATAGAGAATCACGAATGGACCCCACATGTGAGGTGGCTCATCCCAAACACAAAACGAGGATGGTCCTAACCCTTGGAACCAAACACGGGACAGGGATGGTCCCATCCCTAGAAAAAAGGTTAGGACCATCGCATCCCTCATTGACTCGGAACCAAACACATGGGAGAATGTTACCAACTAAAACGTGCTTTAGATTTTGACAAATTACATCTTTAAAATAACCTAATTTCAACCAAAAAAGGTGCTTTAGATTTTATTTACTTAAAATCCTGCAAGGGTATCATAGACATACCGCATGCCCCAGGTTATTAGGTACTGAGAGAAAGCCAAGTGTCCATTTTACCAACCAACTCAAGCAGTCTGATCTGCTACAAGGATTTTTTTTTTAATTTTAACACTTTTTGAAAACTTATTATAAATCTAACACTGTCTGTTTTTTTAAACTAACACTTTTAGCCGCGCCTATTGCTATGACGCAGCTAAATGCTTGTGCCGCGCCATGCATGGTGGCGCGGCAGCGGGCTGACGTGGCGACGACTGGAATCGACGACCGGTGACGTGGCAGGGCTTGCCGCGCCATCAATCTTGGCGTGGCAGTGCCGCGCCAAGATCCGTGGTGCGGCAGAGGCAAATAAAACCCCCACGACCAGTCCCGCTGCCCGAGCAGCAAGGCCCTACCCACCGCCGCCACGCCCGCGTCCGCCCGCGCCAGCGTCTGCCGCGCCCGCGTCCGCGCCGCGCTCGACTGCGGTGAAGCCCGCCTGAAAGCCGGCTCCACAATGGCGTCGCCGCGCCGACTCCGCCACCGCGCCGCGCGTTTCTTCCGCGCCGACCCGCGGCCTGAACACGCCGCCGCCCGCTGCGTCGCCGCCGAGCACGTCTCGCCCGCCATTTAACGCCACGAACGCCAAAGACACGGCACGGCCGCCGCCGCCCGGGCTGCCGTCCCGCATGTCTGCGGCGTGGCGCCACCCCCTCCCGACCACGCACGCACGGTTTGCCCGCCGAGGCTGCGCTGTGCCTCCGGGCGGTCTAGCACGCCACCACCATAAGGATGAGCGCTTGCATGAGGTACTCCCCTCATGTAGTTAGTATAGTTAATAAAGTTAGTAAAGTTAGTAAAGTATAGTTAATAAAGTTAGTTAGTTTAATTAGTATGGGTAATATAGTAAGTTAGTCTAGATAGTAAAGTTAGGTAGTTTAGTTAGTACAGTTATTGAGTCTAGTTAAACATTAGATTTAGTCTAATTAGTTGTTATAGTTAGCCTTGTATAGATGTTAATATGAGATTAGTTAGTATAGTTATAGTTAGAATATATATTAATATTACTATGGACATTACGTACGACGAATTCAACGACTTGATGAAGTTTGTTGAAATGCTTTTGCAGATGGATTATTGTGTTAGAGTTTTATATGGAGGAAGTGTTAGGAGAGAAGATGGTATGTTTGAGAATATGGAAGAAGAATTGGAATGGTTTGAACCTCCTAGCTTCAACGACCTTTGTGTCCGTTTAAATGCAAAGTTTGGCGGTAATTTCACACTGAATGGGAGGTTTGATACTTGAAATACTAGGGCACACTATGTCCTCATGCCCTTGCGCGACCCTGCTCACTGGTCCCGCTACACTAGGGTTCTCCAAGGTTCCAATGTGCCCATGGCTGAGGTGGTGGTGGAGAATGGGTACAGGATGCAGGGTGTTTAGGACGGCCCATCCATTGATGGTTTTGGATGCAATGAACAAGAATTAAGGGTCGAAGGGGAAGTAACTCAGGATAACATGGATTTGGATGGTCAGTTGACGTAGGAGCAGTTTCATTCAACTGTAGTAGGTTGTATAAGCAATGACTTCGATGTGAATGAGTTCGAACAGGAAGATGAGGAGCAGGAGGAGGACATGATCGATGATGTAGTTAGCAGTGATTCAGATGATTCTAATGATGACCAAGGAGGTATAGATGCTATGCCAACACCGGCAGATGCCATGCCAGTATCGGTTCATACTATGCCATTACCAGTACCAACTGTGGTTTTGCATGGTGTCTAGGCTTAGGGTAGACTAGTCATAGATTTGGCTGCAGATGATATCCCCTATGATTCATGGGCCAGAATTAGCGAAGCGCAGTAGTATGTTCCACCACCACCTTATACAGCCACTGAGCTTGAGCAACTAAGGTCCAAGAATGTACCTTTCAGGGGCGTTCGAACTATAGGGATGTCAGCATGATAGATATGACAGTTTGTGACACCGGTCTCCAGATATGTAGGAAATCATTGTATGACCATGAGAAAGAAAACCTTAGGAAGGAGATGATATTCAACACAATGTCAGAGATGAAACTCTTCCTTCAGGACTATATTGTGTACCACCATAGGTCGTACACCGTCACTCATTCGGACCAGGAGTTGAGGTACCACGTGATATGCAAAAACGGTTGTATGTGGAGGTTAAATACACGGAAGAGACAGAGTGATGGAAAGTGGAGGATAACTAAAGTTGTCGAACCCCACACTTGCCTAGACAATAGGGGAAGGAAAATCATCAGTAGCTCACTGCACGTTACCTTGCCCGTTGTATATTGGGGCTCATTGATGACAATAATGACATTTTGGTGTCTTCTGTACAATAGTCCATATCTGGATTCGTTAAGTACGATGTGACATACGAAAAGGCTTGGCGTGCTAAGCAAATTGCTCTAGCGATTTGATGGGGTAGTTGGGAGGAAGCGTACAACAGGGTGCCCCACATCTTATGTGCAATACATTACTACAACCCTGGCTTGAAATGGTTTGTGGACACTGGAAGGATGTGTTTTCGGCACCCAATGAGGCATGTCCTCTATCGTGTGTTCTAGTCGTTCGTGCAAACGGAACATGCATTCTAGTTTTATTGGCCAGTGGTACTTGTTGATGGCACTTTCCTGATAGGAAAGTACAGGGGCACCTTGATGATGGCTGCTGCTGTTGATCCTGAGGACTAGATAGTACCCGTGGCTTTTGCTTTGGCAGAGGGAGAGAACAATGAATCGTGATCATGGTTCATGCGGCTTCTACGTGTATAAGTTCTTGGCCCATCTCGCACTATATGTTTGATCTCGGACCGTCACGCAGGGCTTCTTAATGCTGTAGCTGAGCATATAGATGGGTTCCCGCCTCTAGTATATTGATGGTGCATGAGACACTTTGCCGCTAATTTTTGGCGGCATCAGCGAAAGCAGGAGGTATGT